TGCCAGCGCAAGGCCCATGCACTGCCAGTGGGCACCAGCGAACCCTTTTCTTTTATACTTCAGTGGGAAACCTGATGTGGATGATTGAACTAAGGATCCTGATATAGAGGGTTTCAATAGGAGCTTGCTGTTGGGGAATGTCATATGACTCCTGCTGTGGGGGATTTCAATGGGAGCCATCTGAGGAGGAATGTAATAGGATTCCTTATATGACGGCTTCAAGAGGACTACCATACACTTCACGCCCGAGGCGATGTTTGTGCCATGCCAGCGCGGTGCCAGCGCAAGGCCATGCAATGCAAAGGGGCACCAGTGAATAGGTGTCCCATATGTCAATAAAAGCCCGTCAGTGGATGATTGAACTAAGAATCCTATTTTTGGGGTGTCAGTAAGAACCGTCTGCGGAGAAAAATCTAATGATATTCCGGATATGCAGGGTTTCAAGGTGAATGCCTGCCACCGCAATTCCAAGGCAATGCTTGCGCTGCGCCAGCGCGTTGCCAGCGCAAGGCCACTGCAATGCCAAGGGGCGCCAGAGAACCCATGTGTTCTACATTTCAATAGAAACCCTTATGTGGATGATTGAATTGGGAATCGTGCTATAGAGGGTTTCAGTAAGAGTCCTTCAGCTGAGAAATTCTTTACGTTTCGCGTATCCCCACCAGCCCATCTCACAACAACAACTCTTGCGAAACATGCCGACAGTCGTGTTTTTCAGGCGTGTGTCCGCCTGCCCCCGCATATCTTCCCTGTCCATCCTTCCCCCCGCTTCCTTGCACATCCTCCTTGTGGTGTGAGCGGGAGAAGGACGAGGCGGAGGAGGAGGGAGAGAAAACGCTCCTCGTGGTTTGAGTCGTTTGGGGTTTCTCGTCCTGGTGTGAGTCGTTCGGGCCCTTCTTCCTGGTGTGAGTCGTTCGGGCTCTTCGTGGTGTGAGTCGTTCGGGCTCTTCGTCCTGGTGTGAGTCGTTCGGGCTTCTCGTGGTGTGAGTTGTTCGGGCCCCTCGTCCTGGTGTGAGTCGTTCGGGCCCCTCCTCCTGGTGTGACCGTTCGGGCTCCTCGTGGTGTGAGTCGTTCGGGGCCCTCGTCGTGGTGTGAGTCGTTCGGGCTCCTCGTGGTGTGAATCGTTCGGGCGCCTCGTCCTGGTGTGAGTCGTTCGGGCCCCTCCTTCTGGTGTGAGTCGTTCGGGCTCTTCGTGGTGTGAGTCGTTCGGGCCCCTCGTCCTGGTGTGAATCGTTCGGGCTCCTCGTGGCGTGAGGCGTTCGGGCACCTCGTCCCCTTTTGGGGCGTCTTGGGGGCCTCTTGGCGGCCCCAGGGGCTTCTAGGAGCGTCTTGGGTGCCTTGGGGGGGCCTCTTCGGGCCTCTTGGGAGCCTCTTGGAGGCCGTTTGGGGCGTTTTGGGGGCCTCCCAGGGGCTTCCAGGAACGTCTTGGGTGCCTCGGGGGAGCCTCTTGGGGACCTCTTGGGGGCATCTTGGGGGCCTCCTGGGGGCCTCTTGGGGGCCTCCTGGGGGCCTCCTGGGGGCTTCTTGGGGCCATCTTGGGGCCTCTTGGTACCTCCTGGGCGCTTCTTGGGGCCATCGTGGAGGGGATGGATCAAAGAAGAGGGAAACTTCCATGAGCGCTGCCCCCTCAGAAGGGCAAGATGACCCCAAAACCGTCGGAAAATCAATGATTTTGCCCTGAAGGAAGAGGGGGGCTTTAATGAGCGCGGCCCTCTCGGAAGGCCAAAATGGGGCCGACACCGTAGTAGAATCAATGATTTTGGCTTCAAAGAAGAGGAGAGGGTTTTTTTCTCCTTCCCCCCGTCGGGGCCAGAATCTTCGTGAGGGGTGTCGTTTTTTAGCCCTCCCAGGAGTCGAAATGGACCCCCCTGACGACCCACCGGACTCCCTCTCCAGGCCCAGGGGGAGGGGGGAGGGGGAGGGGTAAACCCCTCCCCGAAGGGGAAGAAGGGGGGTTGAGGACAGAGAGAGCTCGCTAAACCACTCACGCCCAAAGGGCTGGTGGGATTCAATAGATATCCCTGCATGAAGGGCCCCAATAGAAGTACAGGGCCAAGTCGATTGCAAGGCAATGCCTGTGCTATGCCAGCACTATGTCAGCGCGCGGTCAATGCAATGCCCAGGGGCACCACACAACGCTTAAAAAAGATTACAATAGTAATCCTTGTGTGGGGGACTGAACCAGAAATCCTGTCATGGAGGAGTTCAGTTGGCCCCTTATGTGGAGGAATTGAATAAGAATCATTGGATGCTCGGCTTCGGGAAGGGTCCAGTGCCAAGGCAATTCCAAGGCAGTGCTTGTGCTGCGCCAGCGCTTTACCAGTGGAAGGCCAATGCAATGCCAAGGGGCACCAATGAATACTTGTCCTTCTATATTCCAATGGCTAACCTTCTGTGGATGATTGAGCTCGGAATCCTATTATAGGGGTACAGGGTTTCAGTAAGAGTCCTTCAGCTGAGAAATTCAATCGGTATCCCTGTATGAAGGGTTTCAAGAGAAATGCAGTGCCAAGCCGAATCCAAGGCAATGCTTGCATTATGCTAGCGCTCTGTCAGCGCAAGGCCAATTGAATGCCAGAGGGCACCAATGAATCCTTTTCTCTATCGTGCAATCGTAATCCTTCTGTGGAGGACTGAGCTCGGCATCCAGCTATGGAGGATTTCGGTAGGAATTTCCTGAAGAATTCAATAGAAATCCGTCTACGAAGGGCCTCAACAGCGGTGCAATGCCAAATCCATTCCAAGGCAACGCTTATGCTACGCCAGCGCCTTGCCAGCGCAAGGCCATTGCAACGCCAAGGAACACCAATGAATATGTTGCCCTCTATATTTCAATGGTAATGCTTCTGTGGGTGATTGAATTAGGAATCCTGCAATGGAGGATTTCAGTACGAGCCTTCTGTGGAGGAGGTCAACATGCCGCTGCTCTGCCAATTATATGCAAGTCCGTGCCGATGCCAGTGCAATGCCAGCACGTGGTCGTTGTATGCCAATCCCGATCCACTGCGATTCGATACGGATGATATTGATTCCTTTTCCCGGATTTAATTAGGAACCCTTTTGTGGATGATTTGGATTCGAATATTATGTGGAGGACTTGGTTAGGAATTCTTTTGTGCGTGTGCGTGGGGAAAAGGGGTTGAACCTAGGAATCCTTTTTGGTTCAGGATTCCATATAAACTGGTATTGCGGTGAGGGGGTATTAGGAGTTCTTCTTATGGCGGGATTCATAAAATTCCTTCTGTCGAGGTTTCAACGGAAGTCGCCAGCGCGATCCAAGCGCAAGGCCAGCGCGCTGCCGACACATTGCAGCGCAAGTCCTATGCCAAACCAAGCCATGCAATGTCAATGGGGGTCCTGAAGGCAGAGCGTTTATATTGAGCCGACGTGAGACATACGCAAACGACACGCCACCACCCATCCCCCATGAACAAAAAAAACAACATTTGAACCAACAAATATGCGCAACGTCGAGACGATAATGCCATTTGTTTTAATGCGCGCGGCGCCGAGGCGAGAATGTGGTTTTTGAAAAATGGGATGTCGTAGACCGCCACTTGAGAATCCCTCGCCCTCACAACACCTGTGTACACCAATGCCTGCGTGCACTCAGCACGGCACCAGTGAATATACCATTCTGCGGTGCACGCTGAGACGCTCGCGTGCGCTGTAGTGCCGACCCGCACGACTGGGGGGGGGAAGGGTGAGGGAGGAGGAGGAGGACGAGGAGGAGGAGGACGAAGAGGAGGAGGATGCGGAGGTGGCGGAGGGAAAAACGTCGCATTCTATTCTCAGCTGTCCGCAGAAGATCCTCACCGACATGCTCCTTCTACCTGTCCTGTGCACGCCAGCGTAGTGGTGTACACCAACGCTGCGTTGTTCGCGGATGTTGTGGTGTAGACAGGTGTTGTGGTGTGCGCAGGCGTTTCGGTGCACGTAAACATTGTGGTGTTGACAGGCGCTGTGTTGCACATGGCTGCTGCGGTGTATACAGTCGTTGTGGTGTACACCGGCGGTGTGGTGCACGCAAGCACTGGTGTACACCGGCGCTGCGTTGCACACGGCTGTCGCGGAGTACAGGCGTTGTGGTGTATACAAGCGCTGTGGTGCACGCGAGCATTGTGGTGTACACAGGCGTTGTGGGGTAGATCGCCACCTACGTGCTGCTCGCGTCGTTGTCGTCGTCGTCGTCGTCGTCGTCGTCGTCGTCGTCGTTCGTCGTTCATCGTCGTCGTGCGCGCGGGCGGGGCTGTGGTGCCTGAGCCGTTCGGCGTGGGGGGGGGCGTTACGTCATACCCCCCCCGCCCCCCTCCCCCTCCCTCATGACGCCCGTCATCGCCGATGATAATGAATCGCGCTCCATATTCGGCCACTTTGGAAGTGTGGAATGCCAACCACGCTCCCGAGGCATCTGAAACAATCGTTAGCCGACTTAAGAGCGCCCGGAGCGCTCGGAAATGTTGCCCCTGGGACCCCTTAGACAGTATTGTTGTGGCCCGCTGTCATATCTGTTAGTGGCCTCGTGGTCTGGTTCTTCGTCGTTTTCCTCTTCTCTTCGGTTCTCGAACAGTTGTCGGGCATCATCGGGGTCCCTCATTCCGATGAGTCCTCCAACTGTCCCCCGCTATGTGCTCCTCTTTCACCGCCTCCGTTCTCCACGATTGCCATTACTATCGCACTTCCATTATCATCGCAGCATTTGTCATGGATGTGGTGCCGTTGTTAGTTTCCAGTGCCGTTTCGATTTCCGTTTTGATGCCCAATCGGTGTTTGACCGACAGCGATAGATGACGGGCCTTGCCGCTTCCACGCGCACCAGGGTGGTCGAGTGCAGCACGTGTTCTGGCCTGGCACACCACAGGGCACGAAATGAGTCAGGAGGGCACGAGCGCGATCCCTCTGCTGACACAGGGCGGTTGCTGGAGGATCTCGTCTCGCGCGAAATCTGCATTTGCAGTAGTGACGTACAGATCTTCTAGCGCGGAGCGGCGTGGGGGAAGGCAGTCCTCGAGTGGTTGCTGCACGGCCTGTTTTTGTACAGGGCGTCCTGCCCAGCGCTGCGACAAGGGGAAGCACGGCGGGGGCGGGCTCACTCGCAGTCGAAACGCACCATTCTCTATTCAGGCGCACGTGTGGCGATAGTCGGTCGCCGAGAATATTCGCAGTAGGCGCGAAGTTGTGGCAAGGAGTTCTTCGCAGTTCATTTAATTGAACGCCCCTGAGGGGGCAGACACCGCCGCCCCATTTTTTTTTTTTGGAACGCGGAGGTTGTGTGCTGGTGTTCACTCAGCTTTGGCTGGGTTTTTGTGAAGTGGGGTCTTAAAGACTCCCAGAAGGCCCCAAGAGAGCCGGAAAATGACAAACACAAGACGCCATATTGGACAATAAGGTCTCAGAGGGCCTGGAAAAATACGAACGTGGGGTTTTAAATAAAGGCTCTCAGAAAGCCCCAAGAGAGCCGGATCATGAGTTAAAAAGACGCCAGCAAGCCGAAAGAGAGTCTGAACATGATTTAAAAAGGACACCTGAGGGTGTGCAAAAGTGTGGACTAAAGGAAGAGGCATACGGAGATGCGTGCAAACGAGATGCGAGTTAGTTTAGGGGCCTCAAAAGGGACTCCGGGGACCCCCTGGGCGCGCCCAGGACGGCCCAAGAAAACCCCCCAAATGCTGCCAGACGGCCCAGGCCGGGGTCGGGAGGCGTGGAGGACAGCCGCAGAGAGCGCCCGCTGATTCCAACGTGTTTCCAAGAGCCCGCGAAGACGCACGTGAGCTCGAAACGAGGCAAAACTAGAGGCTCGACAAGGTTAGAATGGACATAGCCATATGTGTTTTACGAGTTTTTTTTTGCGTGCTGTTTTTTTGTAGTCGAAGTGGGCCGAGGAGAGGCGGGCGGGCTGCCAGACTGGACCAACATGGCCTGGAGGACGGCCAGGATCGCCCCAGGAGAGCGTCTGGAGGCCTCCAAAATCGAGTCAGTAAGCTCCCAGAGAGGCCTCTGAGAGAGGCCAGCGGCGCCTTGAAGACGAACATGTCCAACGAGGTGTGTTCTGAAACGAACATGATGGCCAAAGAGCGCTCATTCCGCAGCTGTGGCCCCCGGGCCGGCGGAATGAGCAGGCCGCGGGGAGGGCCCCAGGAGGGGTTGCAAGGGCTCTGAGGAATGGGCATTGGTACGAGGAGTTCGTGCGCGCGCATATTGAGGGGACTGAATTCGCGCAGACAATGCGGCGGGGATCTCGCACGCCGTTCCCGGCGGGGCGGCGGATCGCTTCGCTCATTCCGCCGGCCCGTATTGTGCCATCGCAGGCGTTTGCCTGCGCGTTCGTGGTATCGATCTTGGGGCCGTTTGGTTTGTGGGCCTCGTGGAGCTTCTTTTTGAGCTCCTTGGGGGCCTCGTGGGGCCTCCAGGGGGCCCCCTGGGCTCTCTTGGGGGCCTCTTGGGGCTTCCTGGGGGCCTCTTGGGGCGGAAGGCTCGAATTGGTGATTCGCGTTTCTCCTCTTGGACCCCATCGTGGGGCCGTCTTGGGGGTTCCTTGGGTGATTTTGGGCGCCTCTGGGGCCGTTTGGGGGCCCTCTTGGACCGTCTTGGGGCCCTTTTGGGTGCCTCTCGGGTTGTCTTGGGGCGGTTTGGGGGGCTTCTTGGGCTGCCCTGGAGCGTCGGGAAGCTGAGAAGGCGAGAGCGCCATGATTCATCGACAAATTATTGACAAAAACGATGATTTTTGCTTCTTGGGTGGGAGGCCTCTTGGAGGCCTCTCGCGGGCGTCTTGGAGGCCTCGCGGGCCGTCTGGCAGCCATCTTGGGTGTCTCGGACGGATCGTTCAACGACTCGGGGCCCTCTTGGACCGTCTTGCACGGGCGCCTCTTGGGGTTCACTTGGAGCGCTCTGGGGCGCCTGACAGCCGCGCCCAGTAGGAAAATCATGTCTGATCCTCGCCGCCCGGGGACCGCCAGGGGACGACCTGCCGGGATATTTTTCGCCCGGGGACCCCCGGGGGCGGCCCCGCGCGCGCGAACTAGAAAGACGGTCGATCTGTTCCCGGAGATCGTAGCGCGCCCGCGGCCCGCTGGGCCGGCGAATTTCATGGGCGGCGGGTGCGTGCAAACAATTCTGTCTCATAGCTCACCCCATTCTCACACGTGCATTGACTCTCGGGAGGGCGTTCTTGGTATACTTGCACGCGACTTTCATTTTTTTGCACATTCCTACAGATAGGCCAGCAGTCACATATGCTTATGATGAGGCTTGTAGTTGTGCGTGTAGATGTGCCGCATATTTCATGTCCGATCAGAATGGTTTCGGTCAACGCCGTTTGCTTTCAAAGTGCTAAGCGTGCTAGGCGCTGACTTCGCCATGCGCCTCGTAGACGTTTTGAGGGGAAAAAAAAGATGAGCAATTCGCGCAGGGTCCGCATTCAAGCGTGTGGCGGCACGTAAAGTTGGGCTTTCAAGCTTAAGGACCTGATATTCGTTTACACTTTTCCGTCGCAGCGCGGCAGAGGCATTTCGCTTGCTTTCTAGTGGCTAGGGGCACGCGGCGCATGGGGGGGGCGGCCGCAGAGGACAGGCGGGAAGGGGGGGCAATCACCGCGGAGGGAGTTCCAGGATGGTCGCGCCGGGGCGGCCAGTTTGTGCTCAGGTGGCGCGCCAGCGGACGCGGGGCGTCGTCGCGACCGCGCCCAGGGGCTGAAGTCCACAGCAAACGCTGGAAGCGTAGGGCAAGGTGAACCAGTGCATCAGGGGCAGCAGGCCAGCCTACAGCAAGACCGGGATCATCCGACGGTCCGCCACGAAGCCGAAAACGTCAGACTGTGCTGCGAAGCAGCGGCGCCTGCGGGATGCGCGTGCGAACCGCGTGCCCGTAGCAGGGCGTGGGCTGGAAACCGCGCGGGGCGCCGCCGAGCGTGGCGGCGCTGAGCCCCCGCGCTGCAAGCCAGCCGCAGAGGCGCAGCATGGGGCGAGGGCGAGGGGGGCAGGAGGGGGGCGAGCCACCAGGCCCGGGCGGCGCGCGCATTAGGCGCGCAGCTGGTGGATGCCGTGCAAACTCGCGAGTGGACAGCGCGGCTGCCCCGCGGGGCACGGAAAGCAACGCGCGCCAGCAGCTGTGCCTGGAACGCCGCGCTGGACTCCCCTCGCCCGTCGCTTCCATGCGCGCTTGATCGCCGCGCGCGCCTCGGCGGGGAGAATCCACCTAGGGGGGTGGGCGCCCCAGCCAGAGACGAAGTGAGATCATCCATTTTGAGGGGGGAGCGCTCGGGAGAGGCGGGGGGGGGCGTTTGATCGGCGCGCGGAGAAGTGAAACAATTGGAGGCGCCCGCCTCGGGAGCAGGCGCCCAGGGCGCGCGATGGAGTGCGGGGGGGGGGGGGGGGGGGGGGGGCGGGCGCATCGCTATGAGAGTGCCGCGCTCACCAGGAACATTTGAGCGGCGCGCTGCCCAGCCGGGGCAAGGGGGCCACCTCGGGGGCCAGGCGGCCGGAAGCCATGCGGGGCGCCGCCGGGCGCAAGCCGCGCGACCCCAAAAGCCGCCCACCCTGGGAGGCGGGCGCCCGGGGAACTCGGGCTTGAGCGCGTGGCGCGGGTTGCGGTGGGGGCTGGATCCAGCCTGCGCGGTCCGCGCGCGGCGAGCGAACGCGCGGGGCGCGGGGGCCGGCTGCCCTGGGCGCCCGTGGCCCGCGCCGGCCAGTCCTGGAGGCCAGCTCCGTCGCAGCGGGCGCGCTTGCCCCCTGCCCCCCCCGCGCGCGCGCCTGGCGCCCCTGCTGCTGGCGCCGCGCCTTGCCCCGGTCGACCGCGCGCGCCGCGGTCGCGGCAATTTGCTTGCATGTCGTAGTGGTCAGGTTTGCCGGGGATTGACTGCAGAACTCCCCGCTGCCGCCTGGGTTGCAGCGCCTGCCTCTCGCCATGCCGGCGCGCCCGGCAGTTCCGGCCCTCCGCGAACGTCGCCTCGCTGCCCCGCGGGTGCCGTTGAGGCGGTTGATGTCGACTGCGGGCCAAGCCCCGGCGCGACCGCCCTTGCGGCCGCGCGTCGATGTCGCGCCAGGGCGCGCGGTAGAGGCTGTCGCGCGCGCCGCGCCAGTCGGGCGTAGCGCAGAGTCGCTTCCCCGTGGTTCGGCTCTAGGCGCGGGGTTGGGGCTGTTCCAGGGCGGCGCGTCTTCCCGCGCGCCGGCGCCGCGCGCGCGCCGCGCCCGCGCTTGCGCCGCGCCTCCCGGCGCCCGCGGCTCGAGCTTGGCCCGAGAGGCCCAAATGGCTTTCAGCGCATTGGGTGTTCCTGCCCATCCATAGTTCCTGCCTCGTTTGCCATGTCGAACTCCCGAGGGAGAATGCGCCGAGCGCTGCGTGGTATTTTTCTTCACGCATGGCGTCTTTCTTCGTCGTTGTGTCTGATAGCGAGCACGGCGGCGCGTTGCGGGGAATGCGGGGGCCCCGCGATGCGCGCCCAGCGCGCAGACGACGCTGAAGTCGAGTTGCGCGGAAATATTATTCCAGGAGGTGCCCGGGGATGGGCGCGCGACGAGCGCGCCCGCCGCGTTTGCGATGCTTCCCGCGACGGGAATCGGAGCCGCCACCCCGGCGGCGCCCCGCCCGAGGCGACCGCGGAGAGGGCGAGCATTTCTGGGGGGATTCACTTGCGGAGGATGCCACCAGGAACTCGATGAACGAGAGCGCGTCGGCGGCCGTCGATGACTGCGCCATCGCGAGATGACCGGCTTGCTGCCCAGATTGCGCCGGAAAGAGCCGGCGCCTCTCCGTTCCGAAATTGCCGGCTTCGAGGGGGAATGAAGGCCGCCCGGGCCCGGGCTGGGAAGGCGGCGGAGATGGCCAGCTCGGCCGTGAAAGCCGCGCGCCCCCGCCCGGACAGAAGTGGGGGGCTGTCGCAGGGGCGGCGCGCAGAACGGATTCAGCGCGCGCCATTCGAGCGAGCCAGGTACCGGGGGCAGCCGGGCCATCGCGGGGGGCTTCGCGACAGACGCCGACCAGGACGAGGCAATCGCGAACGTTGAAATCGCGAGGGTGGGCGCCCGGAGGCTCGGGGTGCTGAGGCCGCCAAGAGGGGCCCCTACAAGGGCGCCCAGGGGG